GTTTGTTTATAGGAGCAAAGGAAGCAAAGTTTCCTTACTTTAGCAAAGGAAAACCAGTCTCCTTTTGGCTTATATCGAAATCCTCCGACATTCTTCTTTACAAATCCTCGTTTTGTACTTCTAATAAGTGACCGGTGTTTTGTTTTGATCTCTCCCCTGCGCTTCCGCGTTTGTCACTTCTGAGCGGCACATGCGCAACACTGACCTCATATACGTCATCCACCCGGAGCTGCTTCCGTGTAGGACTGTTGGCGCAAGCTACATTAAAGTGATTATTACGTTTTGAATATGGATATTTTTCTTACAAAAACGCATCGATTCGCTACAGGAGGCCTTTGTTCACCCCCCAGAGCCGTGTGAGGCTTTTTATTTAACTTCTTTTGGACTGATGCATGCAACATGCTGAGTGGCATTAAACAGCTTGAAAGATCAAAGACAATTTTTAATATAACTCCGACTGGATTCGTCTGAAAGAAGAAAGTCATATACACCTAGGATGACTTGAGGGTGAGTAATTCATGGGCTAATTTTAATTTTTGGGTGAACTAACCCTTTAATCCTTGTCTGTGAAACCAGGGGTTAATTTCAGTGAACTTAAAACAATAAATTGAAAGAATAAATATTTTATTTGCAATTATAAATTAATAATATTTATAACTTATCATTTAATCATATTTTTTTTGCATAAATATAACAAAATAACAAATAGCAATATTTAACTATATATTTGACTAAACTTACCTACTTTAATAGTATTTTTGCTACTAAAGTTTAAATGAGAGAATCTATTACAAATGTATATTACAAAACTTAAAATGAAAGATTAAAATCCTCACAATACAGTGTTGTATATTTTCATAAGACCTGCAAAATCATGCCAGATAAATTGGATATTCAGTATATCGCTCCGTAAACTGCATGTTGTTGTACTGTGTGTATTAAAAACCAAGAACAAACAAGTGTATTATTTATTACTTTTCATTTACATACATTTTTGCTATCATACACATGTTGAAGATGTCTGCAGTTGCTGCTCTAATTTGATCAGTTACTGTATACAGGGAATGTTTTATCAATCAGTTTTGCCTTCAACTTTTGTCTCAATAGCTGATCAGTGATGGCAGTGTGTGTGCCGAGGCTCTATGGGACCACGTCACCATGGACGACCAGGAGCTGGGCTTCAAAGCTGGAGACGTCATCGAAGTAGTGGACGCCACAAACAAGGAGTGGTGGTGGGGCCGGGTGCTGGACAGCGAGGGCTGGTTCCCCGCCAGCTTTGTTCGGGTAAAGGAGAACAGGCTTCCCGCTCATAACAAAAAATTGGATTACTGTCACATTACGTCATCACTATTACATTAGGCTACATTGAGGGGCCGTCAATGCACCAGTGTTCTTTTTGCCAAGTACATTGGTAAAAGCCACTGCACATTGAACGTTTAGGGCCAGATTTACTAAAAATTACTAAATTTACTAATTAGAAGTTAGAGTGAGACCACAATCCCATAAAAGCACCAATGGGAGTGAAAAGTTCTGCAAGTGATCTACTGACAATGTGCAAATTAAAGAATACAGACGCAACCAGATTATTTCCATAATGACCAATGCAATCTACCAAGAATTAGTGACTATAACAACCATTTCATGCACAAAAGACATGCTTTTATTGGACATTAAATAATGGCGCAAATACCTGGAAATTGACTACCGCAAACCTTAGTAAATCACATTGCGTGATTTATTTAAATACTCTCCTCCCATAAATTTTGCGTCTGCAATGGAAACTTCTATAAATGCAAATGCAGTAAGGTCAGCCACAAAAATATTTGTCAGCGCCTTTTCATTTTTCCCTGCGTGTCTTTAGTAAATCCTGACAGTAGCTATTTAAAGCTAAAAGAGGGTTTGCACTGGCACAAGTTGTTAGTACATCTTGCCCATAGTCACCAGAAAATGCCAGATATTGCATCATAATTCAACATTGTGCACTAACCTATTTATTATTGGTAGTTACGGGTGAACCAAGATGAGCCCATGGAGGAATACTTAGCCCATCTGGACGGGGCCTCGGAAGGGGGTAGGGCCAGCATGGGGGGCCCCTTAGGGCCCGGTCTGCCCTGCAAGGAGCAGATGAGAGCCAACGTCATCAATGAGATCATGAACACAGAGAGGGATTACATCAAACACCTAAAGGACATCTGTGAGGTCAGTTTACCACATGGCTCTGATCGATCGGTTCTACTTCAGCATGTGGATCTTGTTACATAGCATTACAGTGTCTGTAGAGTCACTGGGCTCTCTGTTTACATGAGAGAGAATGACATGCTTCACATCAGAGTAATGAGGAAAGCTGCTCCATAATCCAACTATAGCTTTGCTATAGCATTAAACCTTTGACATACTCACTTTGGGTTCCAGGGCTATATAAAACAGTGTCGGAAGAGGACAGATATGTTTACAGAGGAACAACTGCGCACTATCTTTGGGAACATCGATGAGCTCTACCGCTTCCAGAAGAAGTTCCTCAAAGCCTTGGAGAAGAAATTTAACAAAGACCATCCTCACCTCAGCGAGATTGGCTCCTGCTTCTTAGAGCACGTAAGCTGACTTCGATGTAGGCGTTAATGTAGGATGCAGTTAGGTTTGGATTTTTTATTCTGTCCTATTCTGTTTCTTTTCCCATCCAGCAAACAAACTTCCAGATCTACTCCGAGTATTGCAACAACCACCCCAATGCCTGCGTGCAGCTCTCCAAACTGGTGAAGATCAAGAAGTACGTGTTCTTCTTTGAGGCCTGTCGTCTGCTCCAGAAGATGATCGACATTTCGTTGGATGGTTTCTTGCTTACTCCTGTTCAGAAGATCTGCAAGTATCCTCTGCAGCTGGCTGAACTGCTGAAGTACACCAACCCGCAGCACAGGTAATGAGGTCTACACAAGTGCCTACTGTTACACATTTACTTCCCTCTCAAGCTGTCATTGGCTACCCATTCAAAAGATGCTGATATAAAGGTGTACCTTTTGAAAGGGTACTGCTCCAGTGACAACTTTTTTTCTACCTTTCTACCTTTAATCTCATATATTTTGCTTTTCAGAGATTATAAGGATGTAGAAGCTGCCTTAAATGCAATGAAGAACGTGGCCAGACTGATCAATGAGAGAAAGAGGCGTCTGGAGAATATTGACAAAATTGCTCAGTGGCAGAGCTCCATAGAGGACTGGGAGGTAAATTACACAAGCATTTTGTATAGTGTTCACACACTGATTCACTCCCGAACTGTGTGCTCTCACAGGCTCTTTTTCCCCTTCATTAGGGTGAAGACATCTTGAGCAGGAGCTCTGATCTGATTTTCTCAGGAGACCTGACCAAGATCTCCCAGCCACAGGCCAAGGGCCAGCAGCGAATGTTCTTTCTCTTTGACCACCAACTGGTTTTCTGTAAAAAGGTCAGTCACTTGCCATGCTAGTGAGAGCAGAAACACTATTATTTGTGGCAGATGGTTTTTAAGGAGTTCCAACCAAGCAGTATTAACGTAGTTATTTTATAAGACGTTTTACTGTCTTGATTGGCACCACAGGATCTGCTTCGTAGGGACATCCTGTACTACAAGGGTCGGTTAGACATGGATCAGATGCAAGTGGTGGATGTAGAGGATGGGAAGGATAAGGACTTTACCGTGAGTGTGAAGAATGGCTTGAAATTATGTTCTCCTGGGGGAGAGGAGGTCCAACTTCTGTGTGCCAAGAAACCCGAGCAGAAGCAGCGCTGGCTGCGAGCCTTTGCAGATGAACGGGAACAGGTCCAGCATGACCTCGAAACAGGTGAAGAGGCTCTTAAAAGCATAAATAAAAGCATTGATTTTATTGTACACAGTCTTTAAATGGATTATTTTTATCCTGCATCATTTGTTCTCCATCAACAAAAATGGATGTAAATGACAACTAGAAATAATGTGGTGATTGAATTAAAAATTTCCACCTGCCAGAAGATAAAACAACAATCATCTAGAATTACATCCTCAGTCATATCTAAGGACCAGAAAGGCTACAACCTATCAATACCCTAGTAACCGCATAGCAACGGCCTGGCAACCAGATTTATTTTAGTATAATTGATATATTATTTATATACAATGGCTATCGTTTTTATTAATATTTTGAATTCGTTTTTATTTTCAGTTTTCGTTTTAATTTTATTGAATTTTTAGTCATGTGCTTTTTTATTTATAATTCATTTTTTACAAATATTTCTTTTTAGGTTTAATGTTTTTATTTCAGTTTTAGTTTTACTTCAGGTTTACTTTTTATTTATACCAGTTAGTTAATTTAGTACTTCAGCTTTGTTACCTATAATAACCCTGCAGCAACTATCACTTATGCACATTGAACCAGTGCCATGAAATATTTGAAAAATATATTTTATGTATTCATACTTGCTGATCGGTTTAGTCTTATATAATGTTTGTTAATGACATAAGTATCAGTCAGTTCCCTGTAGTTGATTAATCGACGATCTAAAAGTTTATAAATGATTTTTTGTCCTCCAAACAGGTTTTACGATCACAGAGGTCCAGAAGAAGCAGGCCATGTTGAATGCATCTAAAAGTCATCCAACAGGGAAGCCCAAAGGTGAATTTCCTCTGTTTGTCATGTTGACGTGTCTTTTCTGTTATTATTATATGCTAAAGATTCAGGATATAGTGTGGAGACTCATTCCAGTTGAGCATGTAGTGAGTTGTGCCATGTGTGGTCACTGTTTATCTGTTCACAAGCACGTGTTTGACCATGTTTGTGTTGTTTCATTATTACTGCGCTGCATTGGAGCAGCATTAGCTTTACAGCACCTTTTGGCACTCAGAACTCCTTCACTTCTTCACCTACAAACTTCCAAGTGCCTACGTTTTTCTGAACCTTCAGGACCTCTGGCTCCCAGGGCCACCTTAACTTCACCTCTCCTCCCTGAAGTCCCCCAGCGTAGGCAGGGGCGGGGGGTTAGGGTGCCCCCTGGGGTCCTGCGCAGGGCAATATCCTGGGTGTCCTCTCAAAGTAGAGAGCCAATCGTGTAGTCCAGGGTAATTCCACAGTGTGTTAGTGTGACTTATCCGCTTATTTAACTGAGGCTGGGTAAAGATATTGATTTTCTGATTATTCATGATCGTCATTAGAATATCAATATTGATTCTTTAAAATCAGATCAGTTCTTTTCCTGCCCTTCTAAATCACCACCACTGCTGAATCTGCCAGAAAAACAAAAAACAGGTGTAAACGGGTGTAGTCTGATTCACAAACAAATGACTTTTAAAACAGATCTTTTTAGTGAATCAGTATCATACAGAACAAAAAATGTAGTCCGATTTCATGAAGAAAAGACTCTTTTATAACATATTTTAAAGGTGTCATGAACTGCCGTTTTTATTATTTTGTACTGTTCTCTGAGGTCCACTTATAATGTTATCAAGATTTTTACATAAAAAAAACCCCAAACAATTTAGAATACAGTATTTTCTGCCCTGTTTTGACCCCCCTCATCAGAACGCTCTGTTTGAATAGTAGTGGCGGATTGTAGACTCGGAAGTAAACACCCACTGCTATGATTGGCTAACAGTTGTGTTTGATAGCCTATATCCTTCACAGATGGATGCTGCTGTGATTTAGGTTAAAAACACATAAATACTCAGTACATATCAAATGAGTAACAATAACAGACAAAGCAATAGTGACCACTTAATAAAAACAGTTACTCACACTTGTGTGGTGCGACAT